CATCATACTCAATATTTAAATAAGCAAAGTATACAAATAGATACTTTCTTGCTATTCTTCCACTGAATTTAAGGTCATCGGATTAAAATTCTGAAGTGAAGCAGCTCTGAGAAGTGACTTATTTAATAAATAACAAACTAACATTAAAATCTTTGTCTTCCAGACGTCAGCACCTATAGTCCCTTTAGCTCAGCAGTTCTCAACCTGTGGGTCATGACCCCTTTGTATATCCAATGACCCTTTCACAGGGGTTGCCTGATTCATAACAGTAGCAAAATCACAGTTATGAAGTAGCAACAAAAATAATGCTTTGGTTGGGAGTCATCACAACATGAGGCACTGTATTAAAGGGCCACGGCATTAGGAAGGTTGAGAACCCCTTCTTTAGCTACAACGCACACTTGACCACATAATAGAAATCCATAAAACCAGATAGAGCAGATCTAAGAAGCCAAAGAATTTGATTTGTCTCTGTTCTGACTTAATTTCTGGGACAGCTCTGTTAACCTGAGTCTCAGCTCTTCATCGGTGAGATCAGGCTAATGTACCAGAGATTCTCAAAGGACCTTTGCTGAGTTAATGTTCTGTGACTCTCAGAAAGCAACATTGCTGACCAGAACCTTCCCAAGAACAAAAGCGAGGGAAGAGTGTGTTATTGAGATCTTCCACGCAACTTTGCTCAGAGTTCCAGGTCACATGCTCTCCCCACAACCCTTATGTTGGATTTAACAACACGAAGCATACTGCTCTTCTGTGGGACTTGGATATTTTCATGCCCTTTGATTTCATGAACTAAGTGGCATTTTTTAGTTGCACAACGTATCACATAGTCAACCTGGGCTTTGAAAATCCAAGTGACTAGTATTAGAGTTGCTGAGTTAAAGGGTTAAAGTGCTCGGTTGCTAATCAAAAGACTAATGGTTAATTATGTACACCCAGGAACACCTTAGAAGAAAGGTCTAGAAATGTATCCTGAAAAGTCGAAAGCCCCATGAAATCCATCTACTCTGACACACATGGGGTCGCCATGAGTTATAATCAACCTAAATACCACTGAGAGTACCAGCATACACTCCAAGTGTGTAGCTCACTGGCTGTGATCACAAATGAGTCATTTACACCAAATTAACTGCTTAATCTGTGTTCAAACCAGCAATAGGTACCAATGAGTTCATATTGAACATGCTACAGGTGCCCATGTTACTTTTCACCCATACCTTAAGTTACTCTTGTAACATAGTAAAACAAAACCTTTGAAGTGCACCATATTCAAATTGAATTTGCCACATTCTCATGTCTTTTCATTCTAATCCCACCAACCCCATTGCAAATTCGATTTCTTCATAAACTGTAGGAATTCTCACATTCCTATCTCCAGCCAACCAACCTTTGTCACTTTCCTTTCCTTATGATCCTTCACCTTTCACAAATTATTAACAGAAGTAAATACAAACACCTTTGAAAAACTTCTCTCAATCTATAACCTAGATTTCCCTAAAATAAATCAGTAGAGGATAACGAATTTTGCAATACATAGCTAGGACAAAGATTAAGTCAAAACATAGTACATATCTGGTATGTAGAAATCTATCATTTAAATTGGGGAAAAGACTGGGTTTCTAATCCTCTAAATAGGTACAGTCTTGGAAACCTACAGAAGGTCGCTATGAGTCAGTATTGACTCAATGGCAGTGAGTTTAGTGTTGAGATCATTTAAATCATATTTTAAAACATTAGGACATTTCTTTTAAAAAGATGAGATGTTAGCTCTCAGTGAGTCACAGACTGTAGCCTCCCCAGTGAAACTCAAACCCACTGTCGATGAATTATTCCCACTCATTGTAACCCTATAGAAGAAGGTAACATTTTCTTTGGGTTTTTGAGACAATAACTATCTATGGCAGCAGAAAGCCTTATCTTTCTCCCATGGAATGTCTGAGTTCAAAGTGCTAACCTATCACCTATCATCCAAGACCAATTATATATGAACCAATAGATTTAAATGATAGGCATGAACAACGTATACTCATGCTCAGCCCTTGCAATATGCTTGTGAGAGAAAGAGAACCAGATGGAACAACAAAAGCTCCCTAGTTACTGACATCCTTGGGAGGTACTTGTCATCCTCAGTCATTTTGATATGAGTGAACCACTTTTAAAAACTGTTCAGAGGGTTAGGTCGAGTCCTTAATACATGCGCTGTCATGGAGTCAGTGCTGATTCACGGTGCACCCTGTGGGTTCCCGAGACTGTAACTGTTCACGGGAGTAGAAGGTCCAGTCTTTCTCCCAGGCAGCTGCTGCTGGATCCACACTGTGGACCATGTGGATGGAAGTCCAACTCATACCCAGCACACCACCAGGGCTCACAACGGAAAACACTACGCTTCTCTTTATCAAAAATACTATCCCGATCATGAATGATCAAAGATATCCCTGGAAAATGGTGAGTAACCTGGGAGGTGTACCAGCCACCGTGGCAGGCACGTTGCAATAAAAGGCACACACACACCTATTGCACAGTCCCCTCCTTAAAAGCACATCCGTGTGTGTTCTCTCCCCTTACCTGTCTCTCCTTCAAACTGCTCCCTGTTGCAGTCTCCCAGCAAAGAGAGCAGCTAAGGATTAGCTATTATGGATTAACTATTAGGTATCATTCAGTAATTTGAAATGAAACTAAACATAGCATTTGCTTAAGCAGGTCCCTCAGTCAGAAATGGAAGGTTCTTCTTTTTTACTTGATACATTTCATGTTCCAAGACCTTGCTCCCTCATTAAAGCTTCTTAAATACCACTGAGAAACATGGGCACAAACCCTGACAGCAATTATTGAAAATTCCCTCTGGAAAATCTATCAAAATGTAGCTTATTCATTGATCTTTTCTATCCATTTCTATATGATGAACTGGTCAAGAGAAAGCACTTAATCTTCTTTGTGGGCCCAGGGCCCAGACCATTTCTAAGGACCTAGTAGATATTCATTAACTGGTGATTTGAACACCTTCTCTTGGGTGTTCAATATACTTATTTGATGTTTACTTATTTATTTATGTGCGTGTGCATGTGTACTTGGATATTTTTATTTGTATGTGTGTACGAATTTGTGTCTGGCCAAACTATAGCTTAATAGAGAGAAGAGCTGTCAAATGACCTTAAAGTGGTAATTCACTATATCCGCTCCCTGAACTCTTACCCAGAGTTCAAAACAAAGGCACTCTAGGCACGATCCAGCATTTAACTGACACAGATGATACAATAGGGAAGAAAGAGGAAGGTCGTTTCCTTTGTTTCAATACGTCCCTTTACGTAAAACGCAAACAGGGAGTATTCTTACTCATCCATTCACTAATGTATTCAATGGTTATTCTCCAGGGACAATCCCCATGTTACTTGGTGATTTCCTTTTAGTAAGGGAAAGAATAGCTAATGAAGAGAATTTTTATATATTAGCCTTGGTAATTTCAATATTTCAAAAGAAGGCTTTCTTGTTATTAATAATTATGGAAATATTTGTACTAAAATAATAAGCTTCTGCTAAAACTTTGAATAAAAATTATAGGACTAATCCAATATAGCTGCATAGCTGGAGGCTCTGTAAAATCCTCTTCAAACAAAATTATTTTTAAAAGTAGGAGAGACTCAAGAACCTGATTTCAAAAATAAAATAGACATGAAAGTAAAATCCATCATAAGAGACAAAGGCCATTATATAATAATGAAAGCCATAACTGAACCAAAAGACATACCATAATAAGCATCTGTAAAACCAAGGTGAGACCCTCAAAAGATTCTACAGAATTGCAGAGACAAATTGACTATAATACAAAAGTACTAGGGGACATGCTGATGAAGACCAAGGATTGGGGGTGGGGGGGTTGGCAAGGATGTTATCTTGCTTGGGTCCACAATCAATCCTCATGGAGGAAGTAGTCAAGAGATCAAAGAGTAGTTAACAAGATGGATTAGTTAGATCTGTTGCATGGACCTCTTTGGAGTATTAAAAAGAAAGGATGTTACTTTGAGGACTGAGGTGCTCCCATCCAAGCAATGATATTTTCAAGAGCTCCATAGGCATGTGAAAATCAGACTTGAATAAGGAAGACTAATGAAGAATGGGTGCATTGGAGTTGTGGTGCTGGAGAAGAATATTGAAAGTACCATGGACTGCTAAAAGGACAAACCAATTTGTCTTGGGAAAAAATACAGCCAAAGTTCTCCTTAGAGGCAAGATGGCAAGACTTCATTTTATATATTTGAATATATTCTCAAGAGAAACCAGTTTGTAGAGAAGAATATCATGTTTGATAAAGTGGAGGGGGAGCAACAACAACAACAAGAGGAACACCCTCAAGGAGATGAGTTGACACAGTGGCTGCCACAATGGGCTCAGGGATAGGACCAATTGTGAGGAAGATGCAGAACCAGCCAGTGTTCTGTTCTGTTGTGCATCGGGTTGCTGTGGGTTGGAACTAACTCAATGCCACCTAACAACAACTGGGTACTTGAATAGTTCATTTTTGAATAAAGACAGATGAACTAGAAATAAAATCAACACAGGGACAGAAGAACGAAACAAAATAATTAATTAACTTGATCTCATAAACATATACAGTACACTTAACCCAACAAAAGTAAAATATTAATTTTGTAGAGCACATGAAATGTACTACAAGATAGTTTATATTTTAGGCCATAAAAGAAAGCATCAATAAAATTTAAAACCTTAAAATATAGCAAGCCATTTTTAGATCACAATGTTGTAAAATTAGAAATCAAATATCAGATGGTCTATAAAAACAATCAGTTACATGGAAATTGAAGAACACTCTATTTAAAAACCACTAGGGACTTGAAGTAAAGACCACAATTAATAAAACAAAACACAACTTTGAAACAAATCAGAACAAAAATATAAACTACCCAAATCTCAGGGACATAGTAAAAGCAGGGCTCAGAGAGGAATTTATAGCAATAAGTCCACAAATCAAAGATAAAGAAAGAGTGCTTGTTTTGGGAACACATACTAAAACTGGAACGATACAGAGAAGATTAGCATGGCCCTTGTGCAAGGATGACATGCAAACTCATGAAGCATTCCATATTTAAAAAAAAAAACAAAGAATTAAAACAAACACCGTGACACATTATCTACTAAAATTATAGCAAGATTAGCAAAACAAATTGCCGAAAACTAGATCAAAAGAAATAATAAAAATTAGAGCATAAATAAATAAATCAGAAAATTGAAAAATATATATCAACAAGATAAGAAATTGGCCCTTCGAAAGTAATAACAAAATTGACAAATCACTAGCAAGCCTAAGAAAGGAAAAGGAGTGAAAAAAACATATATTATAAATAAAACATAAAGTTAGTGACATAACAAAAGAAAAATGTGAAGTAATACAAATAATTACACAATATTATGAGGAAGGAAGGACCCTGCTCTCCACAGGACCCAACAAGTTAGGCCCCAGTTTCCCCTGATACCTAAAGAGAGAGGCACTGACCATCTCCACATCCAGACAAACAAGGTACTGACCATCCCACCCTCAGTAAGAAAGGCACCAGTCATCAAAGCAACCTGGAAACAATGGCAATGGCCTTACCTGCATCCTGACAAGGAATGCCTAGCAGTCCCAAGACTTGGCAGAGAAGGCTTTAGGCACCTGACATTCCAGCAAGGAAGTTCTAGTCATCCCCAAGACCAAGCAAAGAAGGTTCTAGAAACCCCAGTGATCCCACAAGAAGGCCTCAGCCATCCATGTCCCCAGTCAAGGAAGACTGAAGCCATGCCAGTAATGCCAAAAAGATTCACCTGTTTCACAAGAACCAGCAGCCCACCTAAGACCAATAGCTGAACCTTGATGCCACAGACACAGCAGTTAATCTAAGAAAACACACACACACACATACACAGCTAATTAACTCCAAAACAAAAAGGATTTTTGAAGTTTCCATGGAAATACCAGAAATCAAATTCAAGAGAATTACGTTTAAATGACTTCAGCAATGGAGTAATGCATCAAAAAACAAGGAATGCTACACCAAAAAGATGTCCATAAAAGAAATAATAAGGGAAAAAATTAGAAAAGCATAGGAGAAGACCTGACTAATAGAAATGAAGCAAAGGAAAATAGAAATAATGAGCTTAAAGATAATTCTTTCAAATAGGAGTGACAAGAGAAAAAATAAGAAAGCAAAGAAATCTAAGGAATGACTGTAAATGATTGGTGAGGGACACCCTCCAACCTGTCTCATTGTGATGCTGGTGCAACAAAAATGAAAAAAATAAATACAGATAAAATAGCACAAGAAACCATGGGGAAATACTTCCCCAACACTTTAAAGGAAGGGAAAACAATTATAAAAAGAGTTGGGGGGAAGAAAGAGCTGAAAGAATGTCAAACAAAATAGTTGTCAAAAGAAAGATAGAGTGAAATTCTCCAATGTAAAGGAAACGGAGAGAATGTTAAGAGCATATTTGGAAAAAGAACAATTTCCTAAAAATAAAAAAACAATAAAAATAAGTCCCAGCTTCTCAGAAGACACCAAGTAGGTAAGAAGGGGAGTCATATATGAAAACCCCAAAAGAAATATAAAAGCCTGCACATAGAGTCCTATATTGAGCAAAACTCTATAAAACATGAGGGAGAAATCACTGTATTTCCTGTTAAGGAAAAATTTAAAGGAATTTTACAAAACAAGAAGAGCATTACAGAAAATACCAAGGGACTACTTTGGACAGAGAATCAACAATACACAAATCTAGGAGCAGCAGACAACGCAACAATACCAAGAAATCTTTTCTACTAAAACAGTACTCAAAAAAACCCACAGAAATCAAAGAACAAAGAATCCAATTAAACCACAGAAACAAAATACACACAGCAGAATAACAGCAACAAACTCATACATCAACGACACTGAATGTCAACGAAGTCAATGTACCAAGCAAATGTCAGAGATCAGCAGACTGGATTAGAAAACAAGACGTTTCAACATGCTGGCTAGAAGAGACATGCTCTAAACACAAAGACAAAAATAAACTGAAAATACAGAATGGAGTAAAATATAGTAAGGTGATTGCAGCCTCCCCCCAAGAAATCAGGAGTGGCAATATTAATCTCTGATAAAATAGACTTCGAGGGGAAAATCATATTGAGAGACAGAAAAGGAACTACATAATGATTAAAGAAATAGTGGAACAAGAAGATGTAAACATAGTAAACACGTGCACCCCAATGAAAATCCCTGGAAATGCATTCATCAGAGTCTCACAAAACAGCAAAGAAAAATAGAGAGCCCAGTAATAATAGTAGGAGACTTAAGTACACCATTCTGAAGCAAAGAGAGATCATCAGGAAAGAAACACAATAGAGACACACATGAAGTAAACAGCATAAGGAATGAACTCAACCTCCTAGAGATACGTAGAACACAGCACCCCACAACGGCAGAGTATACGTTTTCTCCAATGCACATGGAATTTACTCCAGAATAAATCATTTGTTAGGCTACAAAGCAATCCTTAATATTTTTTAATTGAGATTCCACAACTCACTTTCTCAAACCAGAGCATTATAAAACTAGAAATTAACCATAGATAAAACAAAGACAAAAAAAATCAGTGGCATGGAGACTGAATGGCAGACTATTTTAAAAGGACTTGGTAATAGATCAAATCAGGTGTGAAATAAAAATAAAAACAATTCTTGAAATAAAGAGAGCAAGGACACAGCATACCAAATGTTTTGAGACAAAATAAAAGCGGTTATTAGATAGGAATTTCAGTAATTGATTATCATTTGAAAAAACAGAAGGAAAAAAAAAAACCACCACTGCGTTAACACAGCATTTTCAACAACTAGAATACGAGCAATTAAAATAACTCTCAAACAGTAGGAGAAAAGAAATCATGAAGCAGAAATAAATAACCTAGCAAACAGGAAAACAGTGCAAAAAATCAAGATGACAAAAGTTGATTCTTTAAAATGATTAACAATATTGACAAACTGCTTGTAAATTAACAAAGAAAAAAAGAAAAGATACAAATATCAACCTTTAGAGATTAAATGGGTGACATCACAACTGCACCAAATTAAGTAAAAATAATCACACACTATTATGGAAAACGGTACTCCAACAAGTTTGAAAATCTAGATGAAATGGACACATTTCTAGAAACACCGTCTACCCAATTAACATAGAAAAACAATGTACTCCATCATATAAACAAAACAAAAACCACATCATCATAACAATCAATGCAGAGAAGACATTTGAGAATATCTAACACCGATTCCTTATTAAAATATTTCAAAAATGGAGATAAAAGGATCATTTCTCAGCAGAATAAAGGTCATCTATGAAAAACCCAGGACCAACATCTTGCTCAGTGAGAAACACTAAAAGCAGTAGTTCTCAACCTGTGGGTTGTGACCCCTTTGGGGGTCAGATGACCCTTTTACAGGAGTCACCAGAATCATAACAGTAGCAAAATCACAGCTATGAAGTAGCAATGAAAAACATGGTTGGGGGGTCAGCACAACATGTGGAACTGTATGGAAGGAGTGTGGCATTAGGAAGGTTGCAAACCACTGACTAAAAGCATTTACCCTGGGACAGGATCTAGACAAGGATGGCCCTGTCACCATTCTTATTCAACCTTGTGCTCAGAGTCTTCTGCAAAACATTTAGACAGCTAAGAGAAATCAAAAGAATCCAAATGGGCAAAGATGATGTGAAACTAGCACTAATTGCAAATGATGGTCTGATATATAAAAAATCTCAAAGACTCATCAAAATATTGTTGGAAACAATCCGAAGATTTGGCAGCATGGCAGAATATAAGATTAACAAGCAGAAATCAAATTTGTATAGTAACGAAGAGGTCTCTGAACAAGACATCAAAAAACAATATAATTTACAATTGCCACACAAAAAGAGAAGTATTTAGGAAGAACACTAGCCAGAGAACCAAAGATCTGTGCAAAGAAAACTACAGAACAATATTAAAACAAACAAACAAACCGAAAACGTACACAAAATTGAGATTATCCCAAGTTCGTGGATAAGAAGGCTTAATAATGTGAAAATTTCAAACTATCTGTATTAGTCTAGGTACTTTGGAGAAACAAATCCACAGCAACTCATGTATAAGAGAGTTTTATGCAAAGAAAATGTGCATCACGAAAACATCCCAACCCAATGCTGCCCAAGCCCACAAGTCCAACATTAACCCATACCCAACACCAGTCCACAAAGTCCTTCACCTCACAAAACAGAGGCAATGACACCGACTGCAGGAGGAAAGTTGAGTCAGTGAAGGAACAAGCATCTCAGCACTAGCAGGGGTCTCCACACGGCTGCTCCAGCACCCAGGGCTGCACCGGGATAGATCCATGCGGCTTCTCCTTGGGGATGTCTTGTAGGAAGTCAATCTTGCAAGCTGAAGCAGGGAACTGCTAAGGCAGCTGCACCCGATGCAACCATCACAAAACAAGAGACCTGAGAACTAGAAAGGCGAGGCTTCACCACCCATTTATCCCTCCGCCTTTCAACCAGCACCACATGTGATTATCGGCCAGGCTGGCACAATTAACTAACTCACTATCCAAAGCAATCTATAAATACAGCACAATCTGATCCAAATCCAAACTTTAAAAAGTGGAAAAACGAATTACTAACTTCCTGTGAAGAGGGAAAAGACCAAGGACAAGTGAAAAAATCCTTAAAAAGATGAACCAAGTAGAAACTCGCACTGCCTGACCTCAAAACCTAGCGCACAGCCACGGTAGTCGAACGGCACGGTACTGGTACAATGGCAGGTACATAAATTAAAGGAACAGGATAGAAAACCCAGCAATAAATGTATTCACTTATATGCAACTGATCTTTGACAAAGGGCCAAAAAGTATCAAATGGGCAATATTGCATCTCCATCTAACGAAGAATGAAAAGGGACCCATATCTCACCCCCAGTACAAAAACAAACTCAATATGGATCAAAGACCAAAGTATAAATCCCAATGCAATCAAGATCATCAATGAGAAAAAAGAGACAAGATTTGAGGGCCTTATTGCAAGTAATACGCACGCTATCA